ATCTAACTGACTAACTCCTTTGTTACTAAAACGTACAAGCTTCTAAGTCTTCTGTAAACTCTCCAATATCTGGTGCAATCAAAACGATGAGCAATTTGGGGGACTTGTTCTTTATAAACCCAAATTGTAGGCATACTCCGAGGGCCTTCCTGGCCCACGCTCGTGCACGATGCCCCAGAAATCCAGTGTCACAGGACATCGGTCCCCCGCTGGCATGTCATAACGTCTTGGGAGTATATATTAGGGAGGTCTGCAGTGACTGCAACTCATTAACTAAATTTTAATGTCATCACGCAATATGGGTTCAGATGACATTGTTGAAGGCCTCTTGGATTTTGGCAAAGACTCCATTAGTTATCTGTCAATCATTTACAAATCTTTTCTGAAATCAGCTAGCAAATAATGTTTGACCACAATAAACACGGATCCTTATAAATGTGAGTCAGTATAGAGTGCTATGTGGTGGTATCTGGTGTTTGCAGGGATGGTGAAGACGTTTAAAACAGAATCCTGTCATGGAGAATGACCACATTTGCGCCCCCCACCCCACCCCGGCTCCCCAGATGGTTCGACTGTGCCTTGATTGAGAAAAATAATTCATAAGAACTGAGGTTGTGATTCACTTCAAGTTTTTCCCTGGCACAGTTGGAACATAATTTGCTTATTCACTGTCACTGGGGCTGAGTTCAGAGCACCTGTGATTTGTGTCACATGTGAACGTTACTCCAGCCCTCTTTCACAAAAATATGTTCATTTCTCACAAAGTGCTGAGTATCTATTTCTGTTCAATTAGCCTGACAGATAAGCTTCAAAAGACCAGAGTAACTCATTAATGTAATATTTCTTCGGCATGCCAGTCGGCTCTACAGGAAAGTAAGAGACTGACGAAGAGCAAATAGCGTTTTTAAAAAGTCTAGTAGGAGTTACTAGGAACCTAGCAATGCTATACTCCCTCGACACTTTTTGTACGTTTTGTAAAAAAAAAAAAAAAAAAAAACATACTTTGTACATTTTGTCCAAGAAAAGCACTGATGTGTTTGTTGGAGCCGCGAGCCGATCTCACTTTTTTTATGGAAAGTTATTTTTACATTTTTAGAACGACTGACAGACAAGTGATGGTTATTTAGACATGGGTATTTGGGAGACAAATATGCATGATGTGAATCTGTTACTTAAAAAAAAAAACCTGATGGCAATTTTTTTTCAGTGTTAAAATTCAGGTTTTCAAAGTAAAAACTTGTATTTTGAAAACGTGTTTGACAGCTTCCCTGTAGTGATATCAGTGAATAACATTTTCGACACTGTCTAATGAAATAGGGGCTTGTGAAGGAAGTTTGCCAAATTTAATGAACCTATATTTTCCAAATTACCAGTATAAGGTGTAACGAAATTGTGTATATGTGAAACGCGCTTTTGAAACACAAGATAGGTTGATATGGTTTCAGATTTCACATTTTGACTAATCTTTAGGAAATACCATTTGTAGAGTTTGGATGTGGTATCAAAGAAAAACATCCATAATTATCTGAAAAAGCTACTATAATACTCCTTTTTCTAACTTCTTATTTGAAAATCATATGTTATATACTTCAACCAAAACGGTATATCCCTGGAGGCCAAATGCAGAAGCAGACACAAATCCAGCTGTCTTTTATCAAGTTAGACATTAAAAAGTTTGTGAAAATACTGCTTTTTATAAATTATTTTGCTCTGCAATACTTATTTTTAGTTTAAAATGTGTTATTTGTAGTAACATGTAATGGGTTTATTGTTATCTTAATAAAAGGAAATAAATTGATGTATTTATAGATAATTATTTTTACTTTCTCAATTTTAATTTCTAATACAATTAATACTAATAGATATACTTCACAAAAGAAACAACTTTTGGGGGTCCTAATGATTTTTAAAAGAACAGCTGCTTTGGAGAGTCATATGTCCTTTAACATAAACATAAGTATATTTCTAGTATTGTGCCACATTATCATTTGATTACTTAAAGAAATAATAGCAAAGAACTGACAAAGGTGATTATAATCACCCAATCCTTTTTAGTTTAAAATACACATTTACTTGTTCAGCTAAAACACCGTACTTCCCCAGCCTCCTTTGCAGCTAAGTACGAGTAACGCCTACTTTCTGCTAGTGAGATGTAAGCCAAGTGCTTACGTGGCACCTTCAAGACGTGTTTTGGAGAAGCGTGCGTTCTCGCCCCGCCCTCCATGTGCTTCCTGGTAGTGATGGCTGGGACTCTAGCAGGCATTTTGGAACATGGAGGATAGTAAACAGGAGGGAACGAGGGGCAGGATAGCTTTGTAGAGCCACCAAACCATCCCCGGACTGTCCACCTCTGAAACTCTTTTGTACGAGAAAAAGAAAAGTCCTATTGAAATCTTATTAAACTGTTTTCTGGTTTTTCTATTAAACGTAGTCAAATCTAATCCCCTAAAACTACAATTCTGATGATAGAAGCGCAGTATGTAAACACTTGAGGTTTTCCAAAGAGAATATCAGGGGGATAGCAAAAGAAAGAAAAAAAACAACAACAAGAAAACCATATGGGAAAAGATATGTGTTGCTCTAAGAACCCAGATTTTATTACTTTGAAAAACAACAGGGATATTTGACAAGAGCTTAAAACGACCTGTGGTCATTTGAGTAAAAATTCTCTCCTGGTGAAGCGTGATCCAGATTTTTCCATAGATTCAAGGAAAGAATAACTTTAAAATTATAAAAAATGTATTACACATTCATCATTTCGCCGGCATTAGCCTCACAGCATTAAATTTTATTTTATTGGGGGTGAAGAGATAGGTTGCCCTTTTAATCAACTGACCAGTGCACAAACAAGCTCAGGTTAATGCCTCGGCTAATGAACAGGCGTGACGAAAACACTGGTCTGCAAAACATGAATAAATAAGTGACCATACGCTTGCGAGTGCTACCTGTGGTGTTCCAAAGTGTCAATCATATCTCTAGTCGCCACTTAAAGAATTAATATCTGCCAATGTTATCATCTAAAATATATTTACAGAGGTCAGAAGAGCGAGTCTGACCTCCTCTGTGCAAAGAGGTGATGACATCAAGAGGGTATGTCACAAGCCTAAGCTCAGCTGGTGGATTTAAGCTGTTCGGAGTTTTGCCCGCTAAGGATGATCTCCTGACCCCTCGCTCTGCAGCCTTCCACTCTGCTGCACAGCGCTTCTCCACTTCTGAGTTAATCATTTCTTTGCCATTATCTGCCAAGAGTTCTTATCTCTTTTGCTGTCACTTTATAACAGGGTCCTCTTATCAACCTGCAGAGAGTCATGTGATCTGTCCAAGCCTATCGCAAGCTTCCATTTTTCTGATTAGACACCATCCTGAAACTGGATCCATGGTTTACAGCAGGTCACTAATGCTGGAAAAAGTACAGGGTCCAGGGGACAACTCGCTTGTAACTTTCTGAATTCTTGATTTTTTTTTTTTTTTTTCATGACTTTCACTAAGGGTCACTGCTGTCTGATGCGTCTTCCCCCAAGGCCACAAAATTTGACAAGCTGCACTTTTTCTCATGATCAATGATTTCTGCTTTGAGTCTAAAGATCACCTGTGATTTCAATAAGAATGTCTTCTAACGCAGACACTGGGGACATACAAGAATCTCTAAAGCATGGACTCACATCTGTTGGTAAGTCGGAGTTGTTTTCTTTATCATCTATTTATATTTTGCTGTTACACGAATACATGGAATTTAATCTCATCGATGTATTTAGTATATGTCACTTGCTTTCCCTATCGTCTTTATTAAAAGCACATAAGCACATGTATATATGACACATATATCTTCCTTGAGGTTGGAAAAAAGCAAATGGGTATTTCAAATACTATTCATTACAGCCATTAATGACATTCTGGATGTCATTCTATCAACCTAAAACAGCTGGGAAAATATGTCAATTTCATGCCTCATATTTTCTGATCATTTTTAATCAGAAATAATAAGCTAAAATTTGAATAACTGGAAACAAGTTAACCATATGGAGTGATCGATCACTGATCAAACTTTAACAGCTTTCCAATATTTGTGAAGTCTCAAGCCACAGCACAGTATGGTGTCTCATTCGCTGCAGATACTATAGAAAATCTTTTGTTTTTCTGGCAAACAAAAGTCATGCCAACAACAACAGAAAATCATACTATCCCTTTAGTTAAGGATTAGAAGCTAAGGGTTACTGTTTGTTTTTCAAAATGATGACCATGTCTTGTTTTTATAAACATAAGTATATAAAGCTAATTTCCAGTTTTCAAAAGAACAAAACATGGAGTGACAAACTTAATGTCACAGCAAGAACACATTCAATTAGCCCTGGCAGTGACGGGCTAAGGGAGGAGGGTCCCAGCGGTCTGCAGTCAGCGGCCCGGGGCTTCCCTCTAGCACTTTCTTCGGCTTGGGGGCTGGGGTCCCCTGCGACCTGCTGGAACCAATAGGAAAACCACGGCTTAGCTTTTTCCTTCTGGTTGAAAACCAGCTGACGCCGCCGGGCGCAGTGACTTTTTTTTTATGGGCCCGCTACACCCTAAAGTATATCAGTTGAGGAAATGGTTGCAAAAACTGGCCTGGACTTAGGAAAAAGAACGCTCGGGAGGACAAGCCGAGGGCAACCGGGAAGCGACTGCCCTGCGGACAAAAGGGCGTGGGCACCAAAAAGGGGCTGAAAGGGACGCGAACCGATGTCACCTCCTGTCGCTGACCACTAGCTCCCTCCGGGCGGGAGCCGCGCGGGCGTCCAGTGGCTCGGGCCAGGGGCGCGCATTCGAGGACGCGCCCGCGCGCAGATGGCTCAGGCCACGGGCGGACGCGGACGAGACAGGGTCGGGAGTGGCCGGAGGCGCGCGCGGGGCAACCACGGGGCAACCGTCTGTCCCCCGCCGCCCCGGCTCTGCGGTGGGACAGGCGAGTCGGTCCTGAGCGGGAGGACACCTGCTGGTCACGGATCGGCTGGCGGGGAACCCGCGCGATGACCGCCCCCCTGGAGGGGCAGCTAGAGACTGGTCTCAACACGAAGCGCCGGAGGGGGCGCTCAGCTGGCCTCCCCAACACCCCAAACCTGCGCGGGCACTTCCGGGCGCCAGGTCCCGGGATGACAGAATCCCAGTCAACTTTCCGGTCAAAGGGACCTCCTTCCGGTGCGTGTCCGCGGCCGCCCGCCCCTTCCCGGCCCAGGCGCTCTCCTCCCCATCCGCTGGTAGCGCAGCCCCACAGGTGGCTGAGAGATGTCCCTGTCTGCAACATCTTAGTCACCCAGGCTGGCTGCTGACACTGAGTCCATCTGTTCACGGGGTCACTCCCGGGGTCCTCGGCTAGACAGACGCAGCCAAAAGGCTGCCGGAGAGGAGGAGGGGACAGTGTGGGGCCCTCAGATCCAACAGTTGGGTGAAGGGGCTGAGCCCCAATCCCGGAGGCGAGTTGCCCCTTGGACTGGGGGCGACCGCCCAGCGCCGCCACTGGGCAGACAGACCCACGGGGGCGGCTGTACGGAGGGTCTGGGGACCCTGGGCGGCTTGGAGATGGGGTAGGGGTGTGGAGTGCACCGCGACACTGAGGCCAAGGTCTGTAGAGGTCACTTGGGGTTTCCAACTCTACATTCCTGCAGTTGCGGGCGCGCTAGCAAATGTGCCGCTTTATCCGAAATGGCGCCTCTGTGCGTCCTAGCTGGGCACGTTTCCTTCTGCGCACGTTGGCAGTTCCATGAAAAATGTGTATAAATGTCTGCACTCAGAGAAAAGTGGAGTCCAGAGGACGCTGTCCCTTCCGCCTACCCGCCAGATAGCCACCGGGAGGTGGGGGTAAGGGCAGCAGACTCGGGTCACAACCAGTGTCCCTTAGGGCCACCTGGCTCCGGTGTACTGTCCAGACTCTCGGTTTCTGGCTTAAGTTTTTTTTCTTTCTCCCGAATGGTGATTTTACAGTGTGATATACAGTAGTAATTTAAGTGACAGAAACAGAGAGAAAAATAATACTTGTCTATAGCAACCAAAGAGCCAAATCTGTGTGGCAGGATTATGACATGTTTTTATTGACCCTCCTGCAATATGCCCAAAAGTATGCTTTTATCTGTAGTAAATTTATGTAATTCTCCAAATTAAGTGCATTTATGGACGGTACCACACACATTCAGTACAATGCTGCATATTATCCACAGGAATCCCATCCGCGACCTGAGGGCAGCACACGCGCAATGCAGACGCTGTATTGAGACTGGGGCCCAAAGCTGCTCTCTGGTCCCCGTGGCGCCTTGGGGCTGCTTTTATTCCGGTGATAACCTCTAGAAAACCTCGTGTCCATAAGGACCTCTGAAAGTAGATATCTTGCACTGGAAAGCGTCATAGCGGGTTATGTCACCCTAACCTCTAGCTGGCTTTATTTACAGTGTACTTAAGATGCCAGTCGCCAAGCCCAGCTTCTGAGTAAGGTCTGCTGCCTCCTGTCCCTCCTCGGCCAGCTCATGTCCCAAACAGTGCTTCTCAGATCCCCTCCCCGGGCCTCCACCCACAGGTCTGGACCTGGCCGGAGTTAAAGGATTTCTTTAATGCCTCTTAATAAATGGAGAGAAATTCATGGAGGAAGGGAGGACAGAGACTTGGCGGTGCTTTTTCACTCGCCCCCTCCGCCTAGACACAATGTCCAGGGTTATCTTGGATCCAGCCTTGAACTTGAGCCCAGCTGGAGAAGGGCTCTGGGAAGACTGCCGCCTGGAGGCCCCGCACTGCCCCAACACTGCCAGCACACTCTCCAGGGGAGCATCAGACATCTTGCTCCCCGAGTCCTCAGCCTGCCTCCAGAGAGCTACTTCCGTGGGTTGCCCTTCCCCAATCTCCTTATGGGGACAGAAACTTCTCTGAGAAGTCCAGGTGGCTCCAAGGAACTTCAGGAGTCTGGAGGCATTGTGGTCTGGGGAAGAGCTGGCCCAGCGTGAGCGTGACAGCCCGCCCAGGGGACCAGGCGACCGAAATTAGCCTGACACTTCACCAAGGCTGCCCCCTTTCTTCCTTCTGGGGGGAGCTCTGTTCGGTGTTTTTTTGTGGGATTGATAAACAAGAAAAGACATACTTAACTTTCAAACTCCAAGTAATCTGAATACAGAGAGCATAAACTCTTTGGTGAGAGGTTTCATCTGGGGGTGACGCGACTGGTCCCCGAGGACCACGTCATGCACTGTAGGACAGTCACCCTAGTGAGGACCTCAGAACAGTTGGTGGTTCCCATTTAGTCAGCTCCTTGCAGAGAGGTGAATGGGCACAGTTAGGAGAGAGGCAAGACAGGACAGCCACCTTCACCACCGGCATCGACGCAGCTATCCTGACCGGCTCAGGCGGCTGTGTGACCCACTGCCCCGATGACAAAGTGCGACCAGTGAGGCCCAGGGACTGACCCAGGCCCACTCGGCTTGGCCAGTAAGCGAGCCGTAAACAGCCCCCGGTGTGATTCTGAAACCCATGCTCTTTCCTCCAGGGACCTACCTGTCCTTACTGATATAAAGGAACTAGGATTAAAAACTTGGTCCACTCCTGCTTCCCTCCCAAAGGCATTTTGGTGATTAAGAAAGATGTGTGTAAATGGCTTTGGCCTCCCTTTTCCTTTTCCATTGGGAATCAGATTTAGACGCCCCAGACTTCAGAAGGGCTGGAAGGGACAGGTGGGGTCGGGTGGGGAAAGCACCCAGGGGACAGCACCCAGAGGCCCCTGGCAGGGCAGGGTGGGAAGGGCCTGGGGCTCCTGCAGAGGATGTCATTTCAGGGGGAGTTCGCTGGTCTGTTGCAGCCCTGACAGCGGTCAGAGGGCGCTGGGGAAAGCAGCGCATCTTCTGGTCAGAGTGAGGGAGTCTCAGGGGGACAGGGAACCGGTCGCAGTGAGTGCGTTTGGAAGCAAACGTCAGCGGTGTCACGGGTCAGGGTAGAGAAAGAGACGTTGAGCGCGCACTCCACTTTTAAGTGCTTTTGACAAAGCCGGTGTGTCCCCTGCAGAGAGACCCTAATCCCTGCCGGTGCTCACATTTGTCACCTTGGTGCTGACCGCTGGCTCAGGACCTGGCCCCCCGCAGCCTCAGGCCTCCAGGCTCCACCTCCTCCGAGTCTACACGGGATTGGAAAGAAAACCGGTCGGAACACGGCGCGGCGCCCCCAAAGCGACTTCCTAGTTTCCAGACCAGAAACGCAGGGAAAAGGGAAAGAACGTGTCCCCGGCCCCGCGCACTGGCCCCCACCTCCTAGTCGCAAAAGTTGTCAGGAGGTTGGAGGAGCCGACGCCGGACACTCGCAACTCCCGCGCCGCGAGCCCGGGTGACGGTGCCAGCGCGAGTCACGCCTTTCCAAACCCTCGCGCCCTTTGCTGTCCAAGAGGGCCCCCGATGGCTGGACGGCCCAGCTCTGCGCTGCCGGCACCCTGACCTTGAGAACGAGAACCCCTAGCTCAGGGCTCCCCCAAGACAAGGCCCCCGAAGGTCCACCTGGTGCTGCCGGATTGGGGGAATCGGAAGCATTCCCGCAGGAAACTGCCCCTCTGGTAGGTGGGGGAGTCACGTGACTGCCGCCGGGATGACCTAGCCCAGGTGTGGCCGGGGGTCTGGGATGGGGGAGGGGTGCTGGGCTGGCTGCACTGGCGCCGGGGGTCCTGCTGGTGCCAGGATGGGCCTCCACAAGGTCGCCATTGTTCTGGTTTGTCCCGAAGCTGGACAGGGGGCGGTTCCAGTTTTGAGTGTCCCAGTTTTAAGTGGAAGCTGACTCACCTCCATTTCAATCACAAAGAGGAAGAGGTGGGTTTCACTGGACCACCGACCTTGCATTTTGTCTGCAGCCTCAGCGGCTCACAGGAAGGCTGCCATCCCTCCCAAGGTGGGCCTGGACCCTTGGGTGGGGACAACGCCCAGCAGAAAGTGAGTCCGCACCGCTACAGGGGAAGCCCACCCGAAGAGCAGCAGACGCCCGCCACCCGCCAGGCTGGCGACTCCCGGGACTTCTCTCCCTAGGGGCAAAGGCGGGAGGGCGTGGGGGCCGCTTAGCCAGGTCCTCGCGTCTCCTCGCACTTCCTCCCCAGTAAAGACGGGCTGTGACCAATGAAGGGCCTGTCATGTGCTCGTGAATCGATGCCACTCGCGGGCCCCGGTGAGGTAGGTCCACACCGGCAGCGGCCTCCTGCCCCGGCGACTGAGGTGACGTCGTGCGCAGTTTCCGACACAGGAGCACAAAGGGATGTTGTCTTTTTAACGCGGCACGACCCCCCCACCCAGCCCCATTTATTTTTTTCAAGGCCACAGCCGGGCCGGTGCCGCTGGGTGCCGTGCAGGGCGCTCTGGCATCTAAGCCTCAGCCGCAAATCGGGCGCGTGAGAAGCCGGCCCGCTGAGCTCGGAGCGGACCCCGCAGTTCTCGCTAAACTTCATTGTCAAAGAAAAACCAAGTGGCTTCGAGGGGGCGGGACGGACGAATCCGGTCAGCGGAGCGTCAGGGGCCGGCGAGCTGGCCGCCCTCTCCCGTCCGGCCACCAGCCACTGCGGTCTCTTCCGGAGATTCTTCTAGAGACTTTCTGAAAAAAACTCTAGGTTTCTGCTGGAGCCGAGCATTGTACGCGTTCTTTGGGAGAAGTCATCACTCCGGTTTCTTAAAAACCGAAAAGTGGGACTGGGGTGCGGGGTTAGACATTGTTTCCCAGGGTGTAGATTGGCACGTTTCTTGCGAGGTCCCCGCCCTCCCCGTCCCAGGCGCGCGGGACAGGTAGGTCTTCCACTCTGTCCCCGCGGGGACCTGTATTTGTCGAGCCCAAGACCTCTCGGTCAGGCGGACGGCACCGCGGGCGCAGAGCGCGGCGGCGGGCCCTCGCAGGTGGGCGCGCTGGGGAGACCGCCTGGCTGCAGCCCGCAGGCTGCACGCGGGGCCCCGCAGCGCTGAGCCGGCATAAAATATGCCAGCCTGCGCTTCCCGCGCTCATCAAGGCTGCGGGAGCCTCCCCGAGCCATCAGCCTTTATAATTGCAGCCGTCAATCAACGCTTTCAGACCGTCAGAACCCGCAAGGACAAGCCCCGGAGACCCGTCTCGTCGAAAAGGAGGTGGGGGACGTGGGGGAGAGAGGAGGGAGG